AAAACGTAATTAGTTTACGTAAATTACATTTTCTATTGACAAAACGTCTGACCTTTTTTTTTCTGTTTGACCAATATAATAACAAACATAATTTCTTGTATAACAACTTATAAAGGACTATTGACTAGGGTTTATACAAAAACTGGCATTAAAAAAACCGGTTTTTGAATTTGAATTTATCTACAAAACCGGTAGCAAATTATATTTTCTATTGACAAAACGTCTGACGTTTTTTTTTCTGCTTGACCAATATAATAACAAACCAAATTTCTTGTATAACAACATATAAAGTACTATTGACTAGGGTTTATACAAAAACCGACTTAAAAAAAACCGGTTTCTGAATTTGAATTTGTCTACAAAACCGGTTTAAACTAGTTTTCGAATTTTTCCAAAAATATAGAGAGAAAAGGATTTTTATTTAACTCATAAAACAGATCTTATATAAAACTATAACAAAAAAATATAATAAATACTTGTCTGGTTATAAAGTTATCTATAACCGTTAATGTTTATATTATGTTGGCACTTATTATTTTATACATGTTTATATACGTAAGTCATTAAGACTTAGAACATATACCACTTAGGAAGGTCCCATAACTAATCATTGTGTAACGACTATTCTTAATACAAGGAGACTCTTAAAGAGTCAGTGTTAAAGTCATAGTCCTGGCTAGTCGCTAGTCCCAGATAGTTTTAGTCTTAGTGGAGAGTCGTCCCGAGTCCTAGTTAGACTCATAAAAATCCTAGTAACAAATCTATAAACTGGAATCTAGACATAGAAGTTATTAATAATCTTATAGAGAATAATAAAGTATTTATTATCATAAAAACTCCAACTTCACCTCTAGCATTCCTTAAAAACTCCACAATAATAGCAGAGTCATTTTTCTATAATGACAATAAAATACTAGTTTATTTCCTTTTTTTCTCAGAAAATGTGATTCTAAAAAGGATGACATGTCTATAGATCTATTGCTCAAACAGGTTCTTGTTAAGATAGAAAATTTGCAGAATTGTCTAGTTCTCTCAACTGTACTGAAACGTTACATTCATTACTACCAGATTTTTTTTACGTTGATACAAGATTTCTTCCTATTGGCAAACTGGACGCTCTTTTGGCAAAGAGTAGTTGAAGTGAAAATTTGTATTGCGTGTTGTTATATTTTAAGTCTAAACTTGATTATTTTTTATTGACAAAAAAAAAACAGATCTTTGAATTTTATAAATTTATTCAAAAAACCGGGTTTTAAAAACTAACAAACCCTAATACTGACACCAGTCTTTACATCTTTTATTAATACGTTTCTGAAATTAATTATTGAATTAATAAGAAAAATATTTGGTTTATAGTTTGCATGAATGATTTAGTACGCTAATGTGACTAATCACAGTATAACACGCAGATGTCTTGTGGAAGTAATTGAATGTCATTAGTATTCCCTTTAATGGATCGTGACTCATGCACTCCGGGGAATTATGCATTCGGTTAATACCCTTTTTTTTTACCTCCGTTGTTGATGTTTTGCGAGGGAGCGATCCATCCCTTCATGCACGATGACATCTTGGGGTTGTTTAATTTTGCTTAAGTGACTGATAAGGTGTGTTTATGTGTGTGCAAATAGATGTATATAAATGTGTGTGCGTGAGCAGGTTTAATGCAGGTGTAATTAATAAAGTTACGAGCGTGAATATGATGAGTCCTCAGGCAGTTTGTCAGGTATCAGGAACAAAATGTACCATGCAACATCAGCCCTTGAGCCTTCGGATCTCACGTCGTCCAACAATATATGTATGTTAACTATGTAGTTTATGCGCAGCAAACTTTACGCGCCATGCTTATTTATGCGGAACAAGATATGTTCAATAATCTGCATGTGTTGTTATTATATGTATATATGAATACATCTACAATTAACTATATATATATAGATGTTCATATATAGTTGTATATAGGTATAGAGTACATACACGAAGAGTACACATTCATCGAACTCTGTGTATAATTTATTAGACGCGTTATTTCGCTGCAGGGTGTTAATTTTAATTAACATAAAACAATAGATCGTGATAAATTTTCGGAGGGTGGGTTTTGGGGCTGTTGGTAGCAAAACCTCCCTCACGTCGAACAATTCATAATCCGCATTACGCATCCGCTGCACGCGTTTACGTAACATTAGAAGCGTCAGTCTGAAATGCTTGCAATCTACTATATTAATTACAATTTAACCGAAGTGGAGTATCAAATTTGTATAATACAAATCCATTTTTATTTATCAAAGAAAATTGTAATAAAACCGTATCGAATATGTTTATAAAATATTTTGTTAGGCTAAAATTCTTAGTTAAAGACAAATACTTGAAATAGTAAAGTTTTAATTGTTTTTTATGAATTATATTTGTTTATTCTTTTTGTATAAATCTTCTGTCAATTCATAAAATTAAGAAATGCTTCTGGTTTTTACAAACACTTTGTATTCGGGACTAGTTGAAACCGGACTAATCAAGGAAATAAATAGAATGTATCAAAAATTAATTTTGTGTACTAATTTTATAGAATTTATTTTACTCATTTAACATTAATTTTGTTGTGAATTTTTTAAACAGAACTATTTTGAATCTAATCCGCACTATGTGAGGTATTGCTGTATTTGCTGTAATATAATTTAAGGAAAGATGTCTCATTGATAACTTTAGTTATTATATAAATCTATAAAATATTATTTTATTATTAATTAGTAGAAAATAAAACTAGTGCCTGAAAAGAAGACAGCTGTTACATCGTTGAACTGGTTAAATACTCTAAGTATTTGGGTCGGTGTACAAGTACACTAGGTCCTCTTTTTATGCGTACTTTTTTTATGCGGTTTTGAAGTTATGCGGTTTTTATTTCAAGAAGCAATTTTTTAAATAACTATTTTAGTCCATTTTGACACGTTTTAACACAAATTTGCAAACGATTTCATCGAAAAAAATGATAATTCTGAACGAGCACTCAAGTTTCAACGCGAGCTTCAGAATTGCATTTCTGGATATCAGGATTTGTACAAAAAATAGCAAAGCCATCGCAAAGTTTAGTCACTGATTATATTGTCAAAGGGAAATAATCAACATGCGAAGTTAAGACTAATTTTACTTGTGAAGAATCATTATCTTCAGGACATAGATCTGATATGTTGACTATCTCTTTTAGTGATGAAAGTGACTTCGAACAAGTTTGCAAATTATGCCGAAAACTCTCATATAGCGACGTTAATTCTAAAGAAAAAAAATGTATAAATTTAGAAGGAATATCTTAAGATTATATTTTTCTGAAATTTAATAAACTTATATATGATTGTTAACGTTTTTATAAAATTATGAATAAACATTTCAGAAAGAATATAGTAAGACTAATTATTTTTCTGAAATTTAATAAACCCTTTTTATGCGATTTTTGGTATATTGTAAGTCATTGATTTAGTTTTATGCGGTTTTAAAAAAATATGGAACGTATCTTTTATTTTTATACTTCTGTCTAGTCCTTTTTTGTGCGATTTATTTGTATGCGTTTTGCTGTGGAACGTATCTACCGCATAAAAAGAGTGTACAGATAAATACGTTGAATTGATAAGCAGTAAAGAGGAGAAGCACTGATTTGAAGTATTGAATGAGTCATTTTTTTGCAAATACTAAATACTATAAGATATACAAAATGACAGCTGTCATCATATGTCAAAGTGATGAAGTAAAAACTAATTCGAAGTATTGAATGAGTTATTTTCTTGCAATTAGTGAATATTCCAAGTTTGAAATACTCTATAAGATTTACAAATTTTATATTAATTATAATTTGTTAATGTGAACTAAAACTTTTAATGAAAACAATTTCTGACTGTCAATGTTAAGATCATTGCAGTTAGTTATATTGAAAACAGTCTAATCAAATCGAGCCGCAACAAACAATACTAAGTTTACATAATACCTGAATTTGGAGAGAGAAATGATGTAGCAGTTCCAAGAAATCGGACTAACCAAGTTAACAAAGGCCTGTTGGTCGCAGAAAGTTCTGAATACAATTTACTTCCGACGTTTCGAGCAACTTGAGGTATTCACGCAAAACACAAATAAATACTTTAGCCGCAATGGCAACAGAAACGAAACGCAGCACTTTATTCCAGATACAATTCTTAAGACAATGGAAATTATAATTACTACTTGGTAGTAAAATCTATCTAATTTTCTCAATTATTTTATTGAGTTTCATGTAAATTATTAATACAAAAGTTTATTATTTAATTTTAAAAACTCCATTATAAATTGTCTGTAAAACTGTATGTTAATACAGTCAATTTACATGAATTTATCTAAATAATTGGTTAATATTTGATACGTGAATTTTGACTGAAAAATTGATATTTTATACCGGACTATTTAAAACCGGACTAATCGAGAACTTAAAAATAAACTGAAATTCATTATAGAAGGATTAAGAAAACGATAATAAATAAAACAAATATATTTACAATTTATTTTTGAAATTATTAAACCAGACTATAGTGAATTCGGACAAATTGAAGCCGCACTATGTGAGGATTTTTTGTATATCAAATATGATCTTAATATTTGAAGTTTTACTAATTGGAAGTATGAAGTAAAAAAAAATAAAGTTATGTACATAATAGATAGTCAGTAAACTATAGATTAAGATTTGTGGTTGTAATATATTACAAATAAATGTGGTACTTATAACTGAATGGGATTCGCGACTACTCGAATAATCCTTGAATACGAGCATACTTTAGACTCTATTTAATATAAATATGAAATATCTTGCATCACATATCACTTTAATATGCTCACGTAGTCTGGAAACGAAAGGAAAAGCGCGAAAAATAGAATAATATAAAAAAAGAGTCGTATAATTTTATATCTATATATATATTTTTTAGTATAATGGAGTTCCCCTTTTGCAGCGTCTTTGTTAACAGCTTGTGCATTTGTATTCTTCCCCGCAGGTGAACCACTCGAACAGCACTCAGGTCCTGCTCCAGAACATAGAGTTCAATCTGTCGGGAAACTTCAGCTGCGAAGTGACCATCGACGGGGTAGTTTTCTCAACGGGAACCGACACACAGTCCATGCTGGTCGTACGTAAGTGCAAAGTTTCATCCCTTACACGTATGTGTGGATAAATGCGGAGAAGAGAAAGAGAGATAGAACGCAATCTGGCCCTTCGCTTTCGCCAAAATCAATTATCGGACAGATACAAAACACTCGCGGCGAAACATAATTCCCTTCCTCTCGCACCAACGCTTTCTACCTCTTTTTTTTTATATCTGTACAAAAAGGGTAGAGAAAGAGAAACGAACACACACAAAAAATATTGAGCGCCGCAATCCGGTAAACTTGTGGCAACTTTTCAACAAATTTAATTTAACACAATCGCACGAACTGCGCAAATTAGTTGCAGAACTTTATTTCACCTGTCGTTTACTCGCTATTACTTTATATATTGAAAACATAACAGTTTCATGATTTTCCACAATCCAATATTACTTTTTTTTGTTATACAAAGTTATAGAAACAATTTTTAATAAATCAGACTTAGTTTTGTTACGTCTTGTTTAAATTGCTTAAAATTTCATTTTCAATTAAACTTTACTGAATTATTAATACTTCACTTAAAATATTATAAATGAAGACATTAAATATATACAAATTTTGTGTGTTAAGCGAATGCACGTTAGTTTACTATTAATTTTAACATGCATGTCACTTTGATCGTCCCAACGTACTTTATGTTCGGATGAACGTACATTTTGCCGTTATATCGAGGGGCATATAACGGTATATACAAATTTTATTGTATTTCCGTCAAAATATTAAGTTAATTTCTAAAAAAATTCGACTAGGTGGACTAGATGGAAAAATTTATTTAAAATGTGACTGTACGTTAAGCGAATGTACGTTAACTGGACGTGTCGAGTTCTCATATATCTTTGATTGTTCGAACGTACTTTATGTTTAAATGAACGTACACATTCAGCCGTAATAATTATAATAATATCAAATTTTCATTTATAATTATTTTATTGTCTTAATTTACAAAATAAAATAGATGTTAATAATGAAAAACTAATAAAATTAAATAATTGAAAAAATAAAATATGAACTGATTGCTTTGCTATTATTGTACGTTCATATGGAAATGTGTACGTTAGTTCGGTCCACCCTCATTATGTTAAGGAGCTATAGCTGCAAGAATTTTTGTCACAGTAAAAAAAAATGTCAAGAAAGTAATATTTTTTTTTCTTTATCATTTTTACCATTCCATTAAATTTAATTCGAACAATTACATCATCGTTCGTTCCGCAATTACCAACGTCACGAATGCAAGTTTTTTTGTTCCCTGGAGTTTTCTGGCTTTAAAAACCCGAATCGAGCAAAAATCGATGCATCCATTTCCCGAGCGAGACGTGATTTTCGCAAAGAAGCAATCTCTCCAACTGCTGTTGCTGTTGTTGCTACTGGCTGCATCGTCTCGGATTTACAAATAGAGAAAGATCACATCACCGTCATCATATCATATTCGCGAAAAGCCATCTGCAGATTACGCCGAGTAATAAATTTCACAGAGAAATCAAGAGGACAGCTGTATTTTTTACACGTCCATTAATATTATTGAATTATTATTCGTAATCCCGATTGTTATAATCATTCGCAGTGAACAGTTTATTATTCTGCGGATTATCGCGTTTTCTGTGATGAATCGATGAACATGGAAAATGGTACTTGGAAATTGAATAGTTAATTTGCAGTCGGGGAACAGTTTGTTTGTCTAACAATTCTGTGCTGTTTTTCGCACATGATCGCACGTTGGATCGACTACTTCCAATCAAATATTAAATGATTCTGATCGTGCAAAACCGTTCGGCTCCAAATCCGATGAATACTTCATTTGATGGATGATCCAGGAATTCGCAGTAAGATCGTTCATTTTGATTGATTCGTTCAATACTGATTTGTTTTTTTCTTCAACGTTTCTTTCTGTTTATTTTCATTTAATTTTATATTGAAGAAAATTTCTATTACAATTTAATTAACCAAATTATTTATAAAAGCAGATTTCTTAGTTTCAGCTTTCTATTCTATTGAAATAAATTAACCTTTAGAACATAAAATGTTATAAATAAAATATTATTATCGTTTTCAATTATTCAATAAGTATTATACGTAATTTTAAATATTTGTACATTAATCCGGATTTCCACAATTATTAACGTATTATAAAATGATTGCATTTGCATTTAAATCATTTAAATTGCTTAAATTTTCTTCATCTTTTTTTTATGCTTATTTTCATTTAATTTTATACTTTATAAAATATTTCTATTGCAAATAATAATAGTATTTACATATGCAGATTTTCTCGTTATAATTTTATACAAAATTTTGTATTTATTCATTTTTTATAAATAATCTACGAATATTTTATAACTTTTAAATTCTATAAATGAATATACAGTTTAAAAATATTTTAAAAATAAAATAACCATAAGATAAATTATAATTAATCAAAAATAAAGATGAATCTCGTGTGCATATCTACTCACTGATTCCATTAGTATTGAATGCTAGCATGGATATTTGTAAGTAAGTACAGATTTTTGTACGTTAGTCACTTTTTTCATTGTATTTCAGTTTTATTTGATAATTTATATCTTATTTGTATTGCTAATTAATTATAAAAGCATATTTCCCAGTTTCAGCTTTATATAAATCAGAGAGTCGATAGTGTGCCGGTGCTAGTGTTTTGGTTTATTTATATAGTCATTCGAAAAAAAAATAGTTTTTCGACATCGTGTCTATTGTAATAGAGTATACGCCGAATTCTTTTTTCAAATAAAGAAATACATAATAAACGAAACCATTAAATCCGAATTGCGTGGTAACGCCTAAACATCAATATAAATAAAGCCTCAATCACCACCAATCAACCACCGACTAAAAAGAGAAAATTGAAAGAAGAAAGAGCAAACACAAGTCTTGCACAACTAACATTAAAACAAACTCTAATGAAAGTGACTAAAAAATGATATTACTGTAAACATAACAGAGGAAACATTACAAAGTGCATGTGTTGAACTAGTCACTAATTAAGGTTTATTTCTTTTGTATTTTCAATTTTATAACTGAAAATTAAACCAGTTTTCCGTAAATAAAATTAAAACCAAAATTTGATATTGGACTCGATTTTAAATTTTAACTAATCAATTTAAATTGTTTTTTCTAATTTTAAGTATTAATTTCAACCGGTACTGCACCGAAATTTTTAGACGAACCGAAACCGAATCTGGAACGATAAACATTTACTTGGAACGTAACCGTAAACCGGAACGAAATTAATGTTGGTTCTACTCTCTGATATAAATGTTGTATTTATAAATATTAATTAATTGTCTATTAATATTTTCTTTATTTAAAATTAACTTAATTATTGTACGTTAGTACAAATATTTTTATGTTAAACCGGTCCAAACTAATTATATACGTATTATCGATCGATAAAGACTTCATTGAAGCATGAATCATGTTGGAATTACCGTTTACTTTGATTGATTCTTTCAGTACTCGTTTTATTTTACCTCTTTTATAAATCCATACCGAAAAGCGAAGATTTAACATTATGAGTATGGATTTACTACGGCTATTACAGCTGTGACCAAGCAATAAATAATAATGATTATGTAATTTATTCTGTTGCTTTTTGCTATTGAAATTTATTGCATCAACATTACATAAATCTGTTATTTTTTTGTTGATAAATGAATGTTTACTATCATAATAATTTCCAAACGTGTTTTTATGAACAGCAATCAGTTATAAATATAAACTATTTTACTAATGAAAAATGATAAATTAAACATAAAAAAAAACAATTACATTTCACAAAGTTCATAAAATCATGAGTTATAAAACGCTTTTGAGAGATTCAATTTCAATTTCAAACATATTTACATTTTTTAATTGAAAATAAATCAAAAATGAAATAAATAATTATTACAATAATAAATAAAATTAACTCATATTGGTAAACGTCTTTGATAATTTCTATTAAAATTGACTAATATTTCATGTTTACAAAAAATCCAATAAAAAGTAATAGATATTATTAAGGAAATGAAGAAGTTAAGAAAACAATTATTTGTTCAAAATTTTTGAAAATTTTCTCCAAAAACTAATATTAAAATATGAAAATTAGTCAACTGCTACAAAGGGCTATTGACCATAGTTTTTTCTGCACTGAAATAAATATTAAAAATAAAAAGTTAATAAAGATATATTATTCATGTAAGAAATTGACGTGATTTTTTACAAAATCGTGTTATACGGAATTTTATTGTATATAGATTTAGAAATATTTATAAAAAAATGTATGATGATAAATTTTTATAATAAGTTATTCTAATTTACATTTGTTAATTGATTGAATAAACATGTTTTAGGTTGAAGGCTTTTAGTGAAAGTTTTATTTTGTGAATGGAATTCTTCGGAGTGTAGTAGAGTGCTTCTAAATGTTTTAAAGGGGACATCAAAACTGGGATCGCCATGTTACAAAGTAAATAGTATGTTGGACCAATCTTAGTTGACACAGTAAATATTGTTTCAGCGCCGTTTGATAGTGGATGTGTGGAATGGAAATACTTGAAGGGCTTTTAAAATATATAGGGATGAATGGTTGGTTTGGTTCTGAAAGGATGGGAAGGAGGTGGGAAGGAAGTGGAATGGATCATCCAATTAAATTAAAAGCTTCGCCCGTAAAAGGTCCATAATCGCGCGCTTTCATGAAACTTTCCCCAACATAATTTATACTACATACAAAAAAAAATATAAAAAAAAAAATTCATGCAAGTTTTACGTATATTCGCGCCGCAATTTCAGCGCATTTTCACAAACAAATAAATGGGAAAGTGCATATCGGAAAACCGTTGTTATGTATGCGTTTTTTTTTGTTGTTGCTGCTGTTGTTTAAATTGCATTCGGTACCTTTTCGAATCTCCGCTGTAACGTGTACATTTTTCAATGGGATTTATCGCGCATTCAACATTATTCGAAACAACTCTGAACGAGACATGAAAAAAAAACAGGGA